AATATATAACTATTCAAAAAGCAAAACATCGCCAAATACAAACGAGGCCAACAACCGAAAATGAAAACTAAGAGATCACGCTATAAAGCGGCCTAGATAACCCCAGATGGGTATCACGCTAGCAAAGCTAGAAAAGAAACACACGACACACAACTCAAAGAAACCAAAACACAAACTACGAACGCTCCAAACAGGAGAATAGAAACGGCCCCCACGGGGTAATCAGTACCGAGGCCAAAGGCTCAAACCTAAAACACGATCCTACCTAACAACACAACAGGCACACAAAATAAAAGAAACAAAGCAACTACAAGCTATAAATAAACAAAACAAACGGAGCCCTTTCCCAGACGAACTAGTCCAACCAGCAGAGAACGATCGACGCAAGAAGATATTGCAGGCCCAAAAACCGCTACCGAAACTGCATACGGCCTATACAGTAGGAGAAACTGAGCCCGAACCAATCACCGAAATCGACCCGTCATTGACCGAGAGAGCCATAATCAACCCCCACACCGGCCCCACCCGGACTCGTCTAACACCACTAAACAAGGCCGATAGAACCTGGTCCCCCGCCACCTAACACCACACAGGGGAGGGTGAGCGAAAATCGAACCCTCAACCCCAACCACCGCAGCAGGCACACCGCAGTCGCCGGGGTCCCACCCCACCCGATAACTCGCGCCCATCCCAACACTTCCAGACTTTCGACGACCAGAAGTCCAAGCTCCATCTGAGAGGCGGAGCCTCGCCAGAAAAAGCAAACCCAACAATCGCAGACAGGAGAAAATCAAGAGGCTTACCGCCACCGGTCGGAGCAGCCCCTGCGACGGAGGAAAGAACCCCATAAGCAAGCCAATCGCCGCCCGGGAGGGACGCCACCACCGACTAACGCCACGTCCACAATCGAGAGCCAAATCTCCAATCTCGGCCATCCACGGAGCTACAGGAGCGCGCAACGTCAAGGGGAGGGGAGGGCGGTCAAAAACGACCTCTAGCCGAGCCAATTCTGACGCCGAGGAAGGCAAATAGCCGGGAGATGCAGGAAGCGCCGAGGAAGAAGGGTTTTATCGCAACGGGAAGAAGGGTTCTCTGATGATCGCCTAAAGTGTCTTTATTGATTTAGTGTTAGTTTACTTTAATTTTGTTATCAACTTTAATCATTACATTTTTATCTTACATTCGTTCACAATCTCAAACTTACTATATAAAAAACCCCAACATTTTCTACATTTTTCATCTCAAATTTTCAGGCAAGAAATTACTGAATATGTACCTTTTATATTTTAATCACATCAACCTTTGATTTTAAAGTTTGTAGCTATCTTTAACTTAATGAAATGCATCCTTAGATATGGACTTCATAGTGTATTAATTATGTAACATACTTATATATAGTAACAATGCATATTGGGTTATATATATTTATATATATATTATCCACCCACATACAACAATATTCAAGCTTCTGAATTATGAATGTGAAGAAAATTAAAGCAATGTAATAATATACTTGTGCAAGTTTCACACAAGGACATATATAAAAATGTTTGTTGACTAGCTAAATAAAAATAAAACTCAAATATGAATGGCTAAAAGACTAAGCAATAATCATAGTCATCAAGCCACATTTAATGTAAAAAATTATGCATAAAGGGAAAAATTATGCACGCCCAATATATTATGTACCAACAAAATCCAATTTGCAACACCACACATCAATAATTAAGTATCATAACTTATCCGACTATCAACTCAATTCATAATAATGATAATAGATAAATAAATAAACATACAAATAAATAGAAAAATATACAATTATAAAAGCACGGACAATAAGGATTATATATATGTATAAAATCTCGCACGCTAGAGCAATTGCACTCAAATACAATTATACCAAAGAACATTTTCCCACCAATAAATTAAGCCAAAAAAATAGCACACAAGGACGCAAAATGATTATGTGGAGGTATTAATTTTTTATTAATGTTATTTATGTTGTTGTTAATGGATTTTTTTTGTTTCTTTTAATGTTGAACTACTGTAATTATGTAGCATAATATAATACAAATTTATATATAATTAATTTCACATCTGTATTTGGCGATCATTTCTTATGATCATTCTCAACTCTCTTATAAAACCATGGAATTTCTTATAAGTACGTACTTATAATAAACTCATAATGTATCTGATATTTTTAACTTTTTTTTATACAATTATATACAATATTATATTTTCTTAATATTGTTAGATACTTTTTATGAATTTATGCAAAATTATGTAAAATCAATAGATACTTTATAAAATCAGACGTAATACTTGTCCTTTCAAATAACTAGGGGTGTTCACGGTCTGGTTTTAACCGAAAAAAACTGTTAATTCAGACCGTGGATCGGTTAAATGGTCGGTTAAAAAAGCCTTGAAAAATCCAGAATAACTGGTCCGGTTAACGGATTACCTGCGGCAAACCGCTGGTTTAACCGGACCGGACCGGTAAATATTAAAAAATTATAACAAATATATATTACATTCAGTCATTCACTATGGCCGACAAATACAATATATTCACTTTCACTTTTTTGCCTTTTGTTGACTTAATTTTGTAAGACATTATAACTTTTCACTTTTCCCACCTTCGTTTTTTTATTTTCAAATTTTCCCACCTCCTCTTCCTAATTTTTTGGGACGAAAAATGTATATTTTTATGCTTATGGGACGAATTGTATATTTTTTATTTCATTATTGTTATTTTTCTTAATTTTTAGGCCCAAATAATCTCTTTTGGGCCCAAAATTAAAAAATAAAAATTAAAACCAAAATGACAAAAATAAAAATTGAAGACCCAAAACAAGGATTTTGGATTTAACCAGTTAATTGCCAAACCGGACCGTCCAATGCGGTCCGGATTGTGGCCGGTTAAAAATAAAACCGGTGCAGTTATGGACAAGAAAAATAATTAACTGTTAATTCCGCTTTGGTCATGGTTTGGGCTAAAATCGATCAAATCCGAACTGTGAACACTCCTACAAATAACTACTCTTTTTAAAATTAAGTCCTATAATTTGAATTGTGGACACTTTTTTTTTTTTTTTTTATTGCACGTAATATATCTTTCAACTATAGACCACATAGGTCTTGCATTTAGGGAGATTTTAACCGTCCGATTTTGCACACTCTCACACACATGTAATCATACGGTTAAAACTCACCATTGACCTAAAGTGAAATTCTCATAGTGAAGTAGCAATGAACATTAATAGTGAAACATATAAGTCAGACTAGACATTGATCAATTAGGAAGCAAATGTAATGTTGACACATTTTATTTATTTAATTGATTGTCCCTAAAAAATTTCCTTGCTTTCTCTCTTTCCTGCTGTCAAACGGATTTATACTACAAAATTATGAAAAATGCAATTTCGTCAAGTGGATATAATTTCTATTGTTCCTGTTGTTATAATTTGGGAAGATGTTACGGTCTCGTTACGGAATCATAGCGTCGAGATTTGTAACCGTTAGATTAACTATTTCTGACGGTTATATGTAATCTAACGATTACAAACCCCGACGGAATGAATCTGTTACGAGATATTGGCATTTCCCTATAATTTGTACTTCCATCATCTTTTTAATTTTTTTTTTTTATTTTGTTTGGATGAGGACGTTTACTTAATACACAACACAATCATTGGCAATATCTCTTTAAAAATCATTCCAACTGATATGATTGAAGATTTTGCACTCTCACTATTTTTTCACACCAAATAAATCAAACATTATAAAAAAATTAAAGCTAAAATTTATGGCCCTTTTACATTCTTTATGCAATAACTTTGTCCTTGGGAAGTAAAATAAATTATTTTTCTACTAATTAGGCATGTTTTTTTTATGCAATAACTTTGTCCTTGGGAAGTAAAATAAATTATTTTTCTACTAATTAGGCACGTTTTTTTCTTCATAATGAGCAACCAAATAACTTTTCTTCCGTAGAGAGATAGAGAGTGAGGGTTTAAAGTTCATTTTTATGAAGGCTGAGGAAGTGAAGGAGAATTATAAAGTAGACATTATAATGTGCCCATAGTGCTAATTTAATAATTCAGCATGTCACATTGTCATATCACATATGTGTAGATCAAAGAAATGGAAAATTAATTTAGATTTAAAAAAAATAAAAATATGGAGGCTTAATTTCTTCTATTTCTCCATGATTGGCAACACTTTGATACAAAATATTATATATTTTTTTGTACACTAACTTTGTAATATCACATTATGATCCATTAATTTTTTAAGGTCCCAATTTGATGCAAAAACTTGTATTTATCTATCAATTTCGTCCAATGATTTCTTTTTTAAGGTTTCAATTTTGTGTTAAAATCTTCATTTTCTTGCATATATCGAATCGATGTTTTCGACTCGATTTATCCAAATGTCTTTTTCGCCGATGTCGATTCAAATGTAGTTTAACTTTGCCGATGTGAGATATGATTGTCGAATCTTTTCAAACCTTACAATTGTTGGGAAAGATGCGCTGAATTTTCCATGAAGTCGGATCTACAAAAGTGAAATAGAAGCGAAAAATATGACACGCCAAAGTCGGATCTTATAATTGCCCTTAATTTTTCAAATTCCTTTTTATGTAAAAAGGATTATCCCTTTATTTTATTACTACTTTTGGTGGTTTACAGTTTCCTTCATTTTCTCTGGACACTTTCTCGCGTCTATTTTACTGATATCACTTTCAGCACTGGCTCAAGCAACTGTTCATTACAGCCACATTAAAAACTTTCTACATTTTTCATTCTTCTTTTGTCTCTAACAATGGTAAGACTTTCATTAGCGCAAAAAAAAAAAAACCTTAAACCCTTCAAAAAATTTGTTCATTCCCTCATTCAACAGTGCTGCTACTAGAGACCTATTGTTAATGCTTAGTACACAAGTTTCAATATTTTTCTCACTCAATTTTTTTCCCAAGATTTTGATCAATTTATTACATGCAGGAAAGAGGAACAGAGCTTCTAGAAGGCTGCACAAAAGACGGGACAATCGACATGTATGGAAAACCGGCCACCAGAGAAAAAACCGGTGGATGGAAAGCTGGATCACTTGTTCTTGGTAAATTTTTATACCAAAGTTTCTACTTTTATGTACAAATTTATCTTGATAGCTTCCTTTTTCTATTATTTGCTAATCTAACTATTAACAAGATTCAACATTCTTTGTTCTGAGTTTGGTCCTGTTTTGAGGTGATTCTTGAAATATGTTCAATGAAAATGTGTCTCAATCTTTAGTTTTTTCTTACATTTTTTATTCAGTGAGTGAAGGACTAGCCGCGCTTGCATTTACGGGAGTCGAAGTAAATATGGTCGTTTTCTTAAAATCGGTACTGAGACAGTCCAACGCAAATGCTGCAAACACATTTAGCACGTGGATGGGTACTCTCAACATGTGCACTCTTTTTGGCGCTTTCTTGAGCGATTCGTATTTCGGGAGATACTTAACTTGTGTCGTGTTCCATGCTGTTCTTGTTATTGTAAGTAGTGATTTTTGGCATTATGAAAGCATGATTTTGTAGTAAAAGATTAGTGATTGTTGAAAGAGAAAGAGTAACTCTTTGGTCTTTGCAGGGCTTGCTTTTGTTATCCCTTTCGACTCAAGAATTCATGCTCCACCCAAAAGGCTGCGGCAAAATAACCGAAATCTGCAACCCTCAATCACAGCCGAAAGTCGCTAGCTTTTACATATCAATCTACCTTCTTGCACTCGGGAGTGGAGCTATTGAACCGGCACTCGCCACACTCGGAGCCGATCAATTTGACGAGGGGGACTCGAACGAGAGCAAGTCGAAAAGCGCGTTTTTCAGCTACTATTACGTGGCTTTGAATTTAGGCTCGTTGATTGCCGAGACGGTTTTAGTATACATCGAGAATCTAGGCCACTGGGTGCTGGCTTTCTGGGTCTCGACAATTTGCGGTTTCCTTGCATTGACCTTCTTGCTGGCCGGCACATTCCGTTACCGGCACACTCGACCGGTGGGGAATCCTGTTTCTCGATTCTGTCAGGTGATTGTGGCTTGCTTTCGGAAGTTAAAAGTCGAGGTGCCTCTGCACGGACAGGGTTTGTACGACTCGGACGAGAAGGATTGCTCCGGCCAGAGATTGTCGCATACGGATGATTTCAAGTGAGTGTAAATGCAAGAAAAATTGGAGATTTAGTACTGACACCTAATTAAAAAATAGTTCATTTATTTGTACCAAAAAAAAAAAATAGTTCATTTATGCGTTGACTTTACAATTTCCATCGGAAAAGCTGGTCCCTGTTACCGGTTGCTGGCGTAGATACTATTTTTCACTTTTTTTCGTACACGTGGCTGAGCAGGTCAAATTCACCGGCTTTTACTGATGGAAGGACAAAAAATCAAGTTATTCCGCAGTTGTGTAAACTCAACGCAATCACTTGACTATTTTTAAATTTGGTGTCAATTACTAGATTAAATCTCCATTTTTTCCTGTAAATGCACATTTTTTCTTCATTTTCTGATTATATGGTTATGATTATGTCTTTATGTGTGCTCTCATCTAAATAGGATTCTCGACAAGGCAGCCGTCGTTACCGGGCACGAGGAGTTCCGGAAGGGCTCAGGCCTGGCCCGAAACCCTTGGCGCCTCTGCACTGCAACCCAAGTCGAAGAAGTCAAATGCGTTCTTCGACTCCTCCCGATATGGCTCTGCGCAATCGTGACCTCGGTCGTTTTTGTCCAAGTCCTTTCCCTTTTTGTCGAGCAAGGCTCGGCTATGAACACTCGAATCACGTCCGATTTCCACGTGGCGCCCGCTAGCATGACCGCTTTTGACATCGTGAGCACGTCAACTTTCATCATATGCTACGAGAAGTTGCTCGTCCCATTTTACGTGAAGCTAGCCAAGAAAGAGCCTCGAGTCCCGACCGAGCTCCAAAGAATGGGAATCGGGATGGCGGTCTCAATTGTCGGCATGTTGTCCGCGGGCCTCGTCGAGCAGGCCCGGCTAAGGCACGCCAAAAATGGAGAGTCGAGCTCGTTGAGCATTTTCTGGCAAGTGCCGCAGTACGTGCTCGTCGGGGTCTCGGAGGCACTTGTCTACGTGGCACAGTGGGAGTTTTTCGCATCGCAGATTCCGGAAGGTTTGAAGAGCATCGGGCTCGGGATGTCCATGTCATCATCGGCTTTGGGAAGCTTTATGTGCAGCGTGATTTTGACGGTTGTGGTGAAGGTGACGTCGAGTGAAGGGAGGCCCGGGTGGATACCAGCCGACTTGAACGAGGGTCATTTGGATCGGTTTTTCTTTCTCTCGGCCGGGTTGATTGCTTTCGATCTTGCGGTGTTTGTGGCATGCGCGAATCGGTTCAAGTGTATGAAGATGGAGAAACGAGACGAAGCTCGAGAAGTCGAGGCAGTTGAGGCTTGATCGATATAGAGATTTTCTTTTTTTTTTTT